ACTTTGCACATAGCAACTCAGTCAATTCACACGTTAACCCTATGAAACAGGTACTATTTTTACCCATTTTATACGTGAGGGAACTGGGGGTCTGACAGGATTCGAGAACTTGCACAAGGCCACACAGCTAGTGAGAGGAAGAACCTGGCTTTGAAAGCAAGCAGTCATGAATTCAAAGGCCATCAGCTGCTCCAACATACACGTATCCCAACAGGTTTGCACCTCACGATCCCTGAGCTCTGCCTAAGACACACTGTGTGGAAAGATATTTGGGCCCCCAGGTGATCCCTTATTCTCTATGTTAGCCTGCACAGAAAAGTCCTAACTACATCTCTAACAGTGTTTTCCATTCTAAGTAGCATGCACGAGATACATGTCACACCCGTATACTCCCTTATAATGATGGCCTCAAAGGAGTTAATCCAGTACCAGTAGACTTTTAGCAAATACTCATTATTTTTTTCTGATTTTAAAAGCAACACACATGGGGCGCCTGGGTGGCTCAGTCAGTTAAGCGGCCGACTTCGGCTCAGGTCATGATCTCACGGTCCGTGAGTTCGAGCCCTGTGTCGGGCTCTGTGCTGACAACTCAGAGCCTGGAGCCTGTTTCAGATTCTGTGTCTCCTTCTCGCTGACCCTCTCCCGTTCATGCTCTGTCTCTCTCTGTCTCAAAAATAAATAAACGTTAAAAAAAAATTAAAAAAAAAAAAGCAACACACAGTAAGAAAAATACTCAAAACCAAACAACATGGAAATGAATAATGTGTGGGGTGCCTGGGTAGCTCAGTCGGTTAAGCGTTCAACACTTCATTTTGGCTCAGGTCATGACCTCAGGGTGTGTGGGATCAAGCTCTGTATCAGGCTCCACACTCAGCTCAGAGCTTGCTTGGGATTCTCTGTCTCCCTCTCTCTTTGCCCCTCCTCTGCTCTTGCTCTCTCTCTCTCAAAATAAAATAAATAAACTTAAAAAAAAAAAGAAATGAATAATGTGATAAATTGAAACCCTCCATAATTCAGGTGGGGGGTGAAGGACAGAATAAAGGTAAGATGTCAGTGATACATGTAATATGTAAAACAAAACATACAAAACAAATCAACAATGACTTAACAGTCTTGTAAGGGCTACTTGGATTCTGTTGTCTCAAAACGACCCCATCAAAAGATCTCAGAAAAAAATTTAAAAAGCAAGGCAGAAACCCTTGAGCCCTCAGTTGCACACTTCCTCTGTAGACCAAACCTGCATTACTGACCAAACAGCCCAGTTTGCCTGGGGCTGAGGTGTTTTCAAAGTCACAAAAGTTTCAGGGCCCAAATCAGGACAGTCGTGGGGCATCTGGGACAGTTGTTCACCATAGATTCACTGGCCTGGTACTTTCCCCTTCAGTGCTGGTGCTGGCCCCCCAAACCAGCCAGGTGTCCACAGCTCCCAGCTGTGTAAAGTCACCTCTGGGGCTCTGTCTCTCTTTCTTCTCACTGCATTGTCTGCCCTTCACCCTCTGCTCAGTGTGTTCCTCCATCCTCCTCCCCACCACTCTCCCCTGCACAGCTCAGAGTGACAAATATTTCTGGAGGATCTGCTCTGTGCTCAGTTCTCTCCCTGGTGCCCTCGAAGAAGTAGAAGACACCTAAGGGTAGTCTGTCCCTTTCAAGAAGCTCAGAGAGAGTCTTCCATAACCCCAAGGGCCCCCAATGGCTTCAGCCTCCTTGCCTAGGTGGGATCAGGAACCCCCTCCAGGGTCTCCTATCTTAGCAGAATACTCCATTCAATTATGTTTCATTGTCTGCCTGCATCTTAAGGAGACCGTCCCTTGGGGGACTGGACATGCCTGATTCCTTCATGTCTCAGGGCCCACTTGCATCAGTATTTGCTGAGTGAACATAGCATCCCCAATGCTTTGTCTTAAGTTTCCACCCCAGGACAGTGGATGGAGAGGTGGAGCCACCTGCAGCCTCAAGATCCTGGGGCCACCTGCAGCCTCAAGATCCTGGAGCTGGGCCTCAGCCATTGGCCAGATAGAGCAGGCCTGGCCCTAAGAGACACCTATGGGACTTACCGCTGACCCGGCAGAGGGATGGAGTCCAGGTGGCGGCCTCCAGGCAACGCCATCATGTTGATCCCAATCTGCAGCAAAGCCTGCCCGCAGTGGTCGTGACCCTGGAAAAAGAGAGGGCAGGATGGGGTCAACAGATGTCCTTAGAGAGAAGGCACAATCACTTTTGCTCTCAGATCCAGGCCACAAGGAGCCAAGGCAGCTGTGGAGGGAAGGCCCCCTAACCCTCCTCTCCTTTTTGAACCGGTTTACACTCTACTGCCCTCACAAGTAGTGCAGGACTTAGTCTAACGTCCCAAGCTCACCATGAATCCCTACAATCTTTTATCTCCCAATATCAAACATTTGCCTGACCCATCTTGCTTTGTACCAAACACAGGGACACACAGACCAGCAAATATTGCATGGGACATACTCATACTCTGAAAGTATCTGTGGTTTATCTGAAATTCACATTTAACTGGGCAGCCTGTATTATTTGCTAAATCTGGAAAGTCTACATGCTAATTCTCTATAACCATCACAGCACTGGGTTATTCATGTCGATTATGCATGGGAAATGTGACACTGTAGTGGGCATAGTGGTTGCTTCCCAAAATCCATTCTACTTCAGATGATATAATTTCACTCGAACTGCTAGTAACTGGTTCAGAAATAGGCATGGGACTCAATTCAGACCAAGAGGCATGATAGGATTGCTTCTACAAAAAGTTTTCTTTCTCCTAACTGCGAACCACAGGAGACAGTATCTCTCCCATTGGACCTGAACAAGGAAATACGTCACATCATTGCTGCTGGAGACCAGCTTGCAATCAAGAGAGGACCTAGCTGGGAGAATAAAGCTGGCACACAGAGAATAATAAATCTGGGTCCCTGGTCACTAAGCCACTGAATCAACGAACCCTGGAGTTTGGCCGACCCCTAGGCCTTCCTGTTATGTAAGATGATAAAGTCCTTGTTGTTTAAAGTGAAAATTTTGTTAGTGGACAGCCAAAAGCAGTCTGATAAAGATAAACCAGATTCCAGGGGCCTCCGTCCCAGCACTGAGGACCCACCTGGCTTGTCTGTGCTTCGAAAGTTGTACCAAGACAATGGTGCCCTTCCTCCATCCAATCAGCTGCCCACCTGTTTGACTCCTCCTGTTACCTTGTCCCTTCCTTGTTCTTCCTCTCTGCCACCTCCTTCTCCAAGCTGGTGAGGAAGTTCTCCCTGAGGAAAATGGAGATTCTTTCACCGTTGCCTGGGTAAAGCAACAGAAGAAGGGTTGGCCATCACCCAGCCTGCCCTGTGCTTGAGGACAGCAGATTTCAAGACTTTCAGGGAAAACGCAAGTATGAGCTTGTGGGAAGATAACAGCTGAGAAGAGGGAGATAAGTCCAGAAAAATTAAACTCTTACTCCATGATTACAAATGACCCTTATGAGAAAAGAGCGGAGGAGGACTTTAATTAATAGTGATCACGCTGGACATAAAGTACCCTTTATGATGCTTGGAATAAAGAATAAGACAGTTGATCTGAAAAGTATGGGAGACAGGAGCTCAGAATAAACTAGGGAATTGTGTAATTCCAGAGACTCATGGCCACGGCCTGTCTCCCAGTCTGTGGGTCCCACCACACTATGAACCCCTCAAGGGCAGGGACCCTTTGTGCTCCTAGCACTGAGCCAAGAGCCGGGCATGCAGCAAGCACTCTATGGGTCTGTTGAAAAGATGAGTGGAACACATTTTTAGTACCTTTCTGCTGAGCCCTAATTCTTTATCTGTAACTGAGAGTAATAATATCTATTGCACAGGGCTATTACAGCAATGACAAGACATAAAGAATATGGAAGTGTCAGGCCAGGATGAGAGCTCGATAAATAGTAGCCTTTGTTATTCTTATGCCCAGAGAGTCCATTGTATACTGCCCTGTGGTCAGCTAGGTTGAGGGAGATGCAGCAAATGAGACAAAGCATATAAAGCTTTGATAGTGCCCATCAACATCAGGAGTATCACCATTGTTATTTCTAGCATTATTATCATTACTGAAAAAGTATATTTTTGAAACCCAGTGAGTCAGCAGGCACAAAAGGATGGCACAAAAGAAAAAAACAACAAAAGGAGGTAACTGTTCCCTTTCCAATTTGTTTGAACTCAAAAGGGAAATACCAGCTTTTCAGAGTGAATGCTATGACGTCATCAGATAGCAGTGAGCAAGCAGATCTTATTTTACCTCCATCTCGGTTACAAAGAAGGGGTACAGAGTAAGAACAGTCAAGAAGGAATTTGAGCTTATGCCAGGTGAGGACACGGAGACGGTAAGGAAGCTGCAAGGCCCTTTTGAAGTGTGAAGCAGTTAGGGTTCTGTGAGGAGATGAAGCATGCCCTTGGTATTGGAGGACCTTTGGATCTGATCAAGTCATATCTGATGGACCTAGAAAAAGGGAGCGCGGTCATGAGCAGAAGGATGCAAGAGAATGATGTGAATTTCTAAGAGGTAGATTCTAGAAACATAGCTTGGTGACCATGAAATTCTAGAACAGATGCCTAACTGCTGATCTGTGAGCCCTTTGGGCAGAAGCCAGCTAGAGCACAGTAGGAACAAGTCATCTGCTTCCGTTTCGTTAGGGATCACTGGGCTCCTAGCCGAGGGGAACACAACAATAAACCTGATATATCTTGATTTCACTTAAATGCCCTGATGAGACGTCCTTGTTCAACCATTTCACCCATAGCCTCCCAGAGTTGTGCCAGTGGAGCCTTCCAGCAAACAAAACCTTGGTTCTTGTGATTGCATGTTTTCCCTGAGGCTAGAGAAGCCTCTTGGGGACATTTGGGAAGCATCTGTATCAAGGACCTATTCACAGACTATATTATTTATGCCTGCCTCTTTCCCCCAGTAGGACAAGACTCCTTGATGCCTGAAACCAAATCTTGCTCAATGTGGGGCTGATCCCAGGACCCTACATAATGACCTGCATGGTTGAAGCCAGCATTATGAGTCAGATTGGCTCTCAGGAGAGCCATGGCTCATATTCAGTGCGGATGAGGCCCAGGTAAGAGAGAATATCTGGAAAGTGAGATAGGAAGGACCAAGAGTTTAACCCAGCTGATGTTTATAAAATGTCTCCACCAATAATAAGAGCTAATATTTACTGAGTGTGTACCATGAGCCAAGCACTGTTCTAAATGCCTCATATGGTGTTAACTATTGAATACTATCACCATCCCCCTGTTACTGATGACACAGAAATTCAGTGGAGGCATATGCGTTGCTCAAGATCACAATGCTGGTAGGTGACAGAGGACTAGGATCAAGGTTTTAGGATTTAGAGGGGAGGTGCTAGAGCAGGTGGAGATTATGACGGTAACAAACGAGTGGCCCATGTCCGGCATTTGCTAACAGGAAGCCCGACTCCATTCCATGGTGGCAACTACACCCAGCCCCAAGGCCTCACAGCCAGCCAGCCCTCTTCCCGGTCACCAGTGCCTCCCGCTGCTCCCATCCCCCAGAAGGACTGTGAGTGTCCTCCAGCTTCGTCTAGTGCCGGCTCTCAATAACGCAGCCGGAGGACAGAACAACGGTCCCTGCAGAAATGAAGCAGATTGCAAAGACTGCAGTCAAAGGGTACAAAGAAGACAGGCACGGACAGTGGGGACGTCTCTTCTGTTCCTCATTTCTTGGTTCCTTTTGCGAGAATCGTGTGGATAGTTGTGGGCCCCAAAGGGATCAGGAGATGAGGAAACCACAGTCCCAGCTAAAGCCTAAAGTGTCACTAGCTTTATAGAGAGGCCTATTTCAAGCATGCATCCCTCAGGAAAGCCCCCAAAGGCTGCTTTCCCGGCAGCCGCCTCCCCTACTGCCCTGCACTGGACTCATCCTACTGAGCAGAGAGATTCCGATTACACACCTCCAAAGCTATATAGCATGTCAGAGAGTGGATTCAAAGTAGCCCCTTTGCCCCACACTGTCTGTCCTCAATGTTATTGCAAAAAGAACTTGAATTTTGGGGTCTGACAGATCTGGATTCAAATCCTGACTCTGTACCAGATTGGTACCTGACCTTGCGAAAATCATGAACACCCATGAATGTGGTTCCCTCCATTATACCTGCCTCCTAGGAGCTTCATAAAGATTAAGTGAGATCACTTGCAAAAGCCCCTAATAGATTAAAATAAAATAAAATAAAATAAAATAAAATAAAATAAAATAAAATAAAATAAAATAAAATAAAA